GTTACACTGTAGAGAGAATTTAAAAATTTTAAATGACTTAATCCTGACAGCTCATTAGGGGGACAGACCCCCACTACAGAGCTGGATACGCAACTACGCTTATGGTTTTGTGCCATCGAAGTGTTGATACATGCGCTGGGAAATCGTCCTCGTACACTAAAATACTCATGGACACGACAGCCTTACGACGGAGCCTTTTGCAATGGAAATTACGCTGTAAAACTATCACAAAACTGCTCTGTCACCAGATCGAACGTGACCGTACATGGCAAGGCTACAAAATCCTTATAATATAAATTTTCCATCATCCCCTCGTCCATGAACGCACATTCAATGTAATAGAGCATAAAAAATCATACAATAGTTTGGATTGATAGTGCTTATAAATCACAGAAGTATCCAAGTTAAGTGCTATATCATATTTAATGAGTTTAATACTTCAGAAATCCGTGCTTCTGTTATCCGATATGTGATAAGCCATGTTTCGTGGCTTTTGTCAGTCATTCATCAAGGTGACATGATATATTCAATAACAGGATGTTTTTACTTTCTTCTTTATAAAGTATCTTCTCCCAATATTTATTTTTTCCGTTGTTCTAAAATGAAAAAATTTCTTTCCCTTCTACAACAAAGCTATACAATTGGCTGTCGTGATAGTCGCGGTGACCGTACCCTTAATTTAACAATTATTAACTCAAAGTTTACCAACGGGCCACTAGAGGACGTGGTTTATGTTTGTAAACATATTTTCGTTCTTCTTGTATTTAGTATATCTAAAATGTACAAACCTCTTTTTAAAAACTATTAAATTCTAAAAATAACAATACGTATAGATAATTTATTTTTATTATTAAAATGTAAACAAATTTAATTATTTTTAATTTCATACTACTCATTGGAACGTTTTGTTTTTAAATGCTGAAAACAAAAAATGTAATCCAGCGTGTTTTTTCCTACAAGGCCCCCTGCCATTAAGGTGTGTCGAAATGTAAAAAGATTAATTACTTGGGTTGAAATCTTTATGATTTCAGATTTGTTTTTCGTTTTGTTCTCTGTAGGGAAACCTGATGTTCAGATAACAGTGTCCACGAACAGGCTATCTCCCTGAAGATCGGAAAATAAACTTCACCCTGCTGTTCTGATGATATAAAATGGTTCAACGACACTTGTACAGTAGATAGGCGTATATAGGATGAGTTACAGGTGTTACAACTAGATTGATTGGTTAGGACTTTGGGTGAGATCAGCAGGATATTTATATGGCTTGATGCCACAACTAAATATAGCTAAAGAGAGTGTACTTCTCGACAAGGTCAAAGGAGCTAAACGCGGGCTAATAACACAACTTTCAAGACAACTCGATTCTTTGTGCTGTACTTAAGAAACGGGCGCATTTCGCACCTTCTTGGATAACCTAGGAGTCATGCCTTTAATTGCTAAACACATATACATATGTGGAATAAGAAAAAAAATATATGTTGCTGCAAATTAACGATAAGATAGGAGCTTGCTAGCGACGATACATTTTGTCAAAGATACGTTTCGTAATTCTTTTAATCCGACAGGAAGTATTATGTAAAGCAGTCCTGAAACCTACAAGCACTTATTTCTAGGCAGATAACTATTTGCCATCAATGTTGACACGTAAAAAAAAACAAAAATGTTGGTTGTTTGTTAACACCTTCTTTTTTAGAAATTATACTTCTTGTAACCTGTACCAAAATTTGTGTCTAGACAAATCTTTCTGATCTGCTCTGCTCAACTATGTCTTAATCATTTTTAATGTAAACCTAGTCACAGTGAAACATGCCGAATCAAGACGACGATTAAAATCATATTTTCCTAACACAAAAAACTCCATTTATCAATTAACGATCCAGCTATTTTCTCAGTAAGTTGTACACGTTATATAGCCTTAAGATGTTAATCCTCAAATCGTATGCTAGTGGGTCTACATGAAGAAATTTTACTTGTTGCAACACTCGGAATAAACAAAAAAAAAAAACCTACTGGAAACCAGTCATTTTATAAGTAAAATACAGTGACCCTCAGTGTTAATTAGTAGAATTAACTGCAACATAAACCGTATTCTTAACTTTTTTTTGTTGTAACTCGTACGTTATTAAGAACCCTGTAACAAACAAAAAAACATATGAACCCACAAGTAAATTGGTGTATAAATAGTTTAGGTATAGGATGGGATCCATATGGTAACATCAAGAGAACATGTCTCAAAATACACAACACATCTAACTAAAGCACGATAAACTTAAATGTATGTAAATCTATGTTTACTGTAGTACAAAAATTAAATTATTAACCTGAAAATAAAGCTAAAATCTTCCAAATTAAATAACATATTTCTAAAAATACTTAAATATGTCAAAAGGCCACTATTTATTCTGTGGTTATAAGACAAAAAAATTCGCTATTTGTCATTCAACTTGTGTAATTTTTAATTTGTTTTATATTTCTTGTGTTACCTATATACCCGTTTGTTTTAAGATACTGATTTATTCAACAAATTGAGGAATACTTAAGCTAACGTATTTGAAAAAAAATAAAACTTCAGTACGGTCTCTCGTGGCGCAGAAGTTGTCATAGAGTAAATGTGCCTGTTTTGAACTTGAGATAAACAGTCACCACTGTCTAAAAATAACTGTGTGTGTGTTATATGTGGAACGTTTTTTGTTGATAAAGCGATGAACTGCTCTTAATGCGGTAAGACGGACTAAATACAATCAATATAAAGCGTATAATGAAACCAACGATCTTCGATACGATAAATGGTGATACAGGAAAATGGAAAGTTTGGTTAGCATTTGGGTACACTGATGTCTCACAGGTAAGTCTGAAGTAGCGGCAAAATGGAGGTTCACGACTGTTGTACAAAGAATAAATAAATCCCACAGAGAAAACATGTAAACAAATTAAATAATATTTCTATCCACAAAAAAATGTGTGCAAATTCCTAATTTCCGATCTACTGACCGGCATCCAGTCTTAATGACTGTACTACCGAGGTTATGGAAGGGTGAAATTCGTAGCTATTTCAGATACGATCTTTGAAGCAAGCGTATATTAAAAGATGTATAAACGTCGTCAAAATGATAAATCTTTTTGAAAATAACACAGTGATTTCAAAAATTAAAACATCCCAAAGCGTGAAATCTTCCAAAAGAGGGACTCTTCCCTATTACGAAAAATATGGTGAAAATAAAAAAATACCAAAAAAATAATGAAAATTAAAACCAAATGATAAAAACGGTCAAAACTGTGAAAATGATGGAAATGGTATAAAGAACGTCACAATGACATAAAACTATGGAAACAGTGTAAACACTTTAAACTGACAAATTAAAACTATGGAAACAGTGTAAACACTTTAAACTGACAAATTAAAACTATGGAAACAGTGTAAACACTTTAAACTGACAAATTAAAACTATAAAAGTGATGAAAATGTTAGAAATACCAAAAAAAAAAATGATATACTAAAACCATATTATTTTAACAAGAACTTAATGTGCACACAATCATAGTGTATTATAACTGTGGGAGCCCACCATTTCAACACAAATGGAACCACTTCTTGATCTTGTTTAACCACACCACACAAAGGTAATCAGATGTATAATTAGACAATAAGTTATCCAAACATCAACTTTTAACTGTTAATACCACAAATCACACAGTGCTTCACATTAAGCTTGAACCAATCACACAAAATTTGTACTATCTTTGAAAGGAATGTCCAAGGATGAAACACCGTAAAACTAGTTTCAAAATAATTCCGCTATTCAACTTATAATGATGATAAAAGGGTTTCATGTTTTATTATAGTCTACTTGCACGTCCTTTTAAGGAGCCTTTGTTAAGCAGCGAACCACTTTCTTTAACTTAAGATTCTTAAGATTAAGGTCTATGATTCAAGTGATATTTATGCCTATTGTAGTTTTAGTGGGTCACTAGCTTTAAAGTGTGTTGAAAATTAAAACCATCCTTCAGTGCTACACTACTCTCTACTGCTTAATACAGAGAGAAAGCAGAAAATATTATAAAAGTATTTGGTACTTTCAACCTGAAACAGCACCTTATGGGATGCCCAAAGTTCAGGCATATCAATCCCTAATCTATAGCTGTTGACCACCATGAGGGGAATCAGTCAACAGCATCTGTCACCTACATAACCGTGGGACTGTCAGGCACGTTTATAATGTACCCACAGGTTAATGATTGGAATGTGTTCGGCAACGTACTCCTGGCTCAAACTTTCCAATTCCCTTAGCCATACATGGCCTTAATAAAGGTAATAGTAAAATTAATGGGCATAGCATAGAGGTGTCACATACACATCTTAGGCTTTGCAGTAAGATTTATTTCTTTCAGTGACACTTGCTCAACTGAGATTGTGTTATTATCAACATAATCTATAGCAAAGTTTATTCAACTAAAAAGGTTTCTAAACAGCATTTTCTGAAGGTGTTTTATTAACTTCTACAAATTAAAAAAAAAGTCCCACACAAAAATATTTATCCATACTGTGTACAAGACAATTCTGATAAGAGGTCCCCAGTAATTTTTAGGGAGTGATGTTTTTGTTTGTAATTAAGCACAAAGCTACACAATGGGCTATCTGTGCTCTGCCCACCACGGGTATCGAAACCCGGATTCTAGCGTTGTAAGTCCGCAGACATACCGCTGTACCACCGGGGGGCAGGGAGTGATGTTACAGAGACTTTTTCTGTGGCTTCTGATAAAGATTATCAACTCATCCTAGTGAACCACTGTCTTAGCTTTGTTAATATGCTGCCATCTAATAAAGTTACTGAATATACAACAGTGAACTTCCAGGAACAGTCTAGAACATTCAGTACTAAGCTTATAAGAAAGACATTCTGCCACATTTCTAAAAACACTATAGCAATTATTTTCAATATATTTTGTTTTAAAAACTAATACCGAAATAAAACAAAAAAAACGAAACAATAATACAGGAATTAAAATGGTGTATATAACAACTTTACACTTTTATTTCACACATAGGTCCTCCATGCCCGAACAGTAAGTTATGTAAATTTAAAGTTTAACCTACACAGATGTACATCTACATTTATAAATAGAAATACAGTGATTGTAAGTCAAGAAAAAATAAAAACAAACTACATGTAATACAAAAATTTTCTATAATAAAAAATGCAAGAAGCATTACATGCAAAAATCTGTTTTCTACATGTAATTAATTCTCTTTAAAAAATAAGCTAGATATATAATAATTTGTGCAGTTTTCTACATTATGCAAAAATACTTTACCTGGAAAAAAAGTCACTATTGCAAGAGAAAAATATAGATAATAATTTACACTATAATGTCAATTACATTACACATGGTGGTGAAGTTTGCTTCTTCTTACATTGTTGTTAGATATATAATTGTGTTCTTTTAGAATTGAGATGTATTATAAAATCATCCAATCTATATAAAACAATTTTAATGACTAACAATACAATTAAATGGATAATATTCTTTTTGAGTTAGTGTGTTTCTATTTTGTGTTAGTCAGCTAGTAGATAAAGAGAATTTTTTTCCCTTAAAAGTGGCTGCCAAAATACTGCCCAAATTTACTGTCTCAAACCTGATGTGTAATGCGAAAAAAAAGTGTCCACCAGTAGATGCACACCTTTTTTGTTGATTTTGATGTATGAAGAAACAATGAAATGATCCTAGAAAATAAAATGAGCATCATCATGATTCTTCATTTCCTGAATCTTCATCATCTTCATTATATTCCTCTTCTTCCTCTTCATCATCATCAAGATCATCTCCATAATCGTCAACATAAAAGTCTGTCATGTCTGCCTCAGATTCCTGTGGTCTAGGTTTCTGTCTAATACAGTATTCATCTAATGTTGTTGGCACAACCACATTATCTTTCTCAGCTTCTGTTCTGCTTGCTGCAATCTGTTTTCTGTAAAAACAGAAAATCACATTAGTATGTTTATGCCCAGAGAATATATTTAGCATGCTTGTAGGTTATTGTTAGTAGAATTATAACAATTCACCAAAATTATGATTCACTGGCCATGGTTGGTTTGTGGTTGGGTTAAATTATGATTCACTGGTCATGATTGGTTTGTGGTTGGGTTTTATTTTTGTGAATGTCATTTATTTTATATAAAAACAAGTGCTTTAAATAATATAAAGTACAAACTGACTTTTTCATGCAAGTCCATGATCAGTCTAGGTACTGTATAATTGTTCTAAAGATAGATTTAGTTACTCTTAGTAACAGGCATTGAAAATTCTGTTAGTTAGGTTTCTATATTCATAATGAATACCACTTATCAAATTATTCAACAGATGAAATCAAAGTACCATGTCCTGTGTCAATAATGTTTGACTCAAAACGTAAAACAGAGGACACACCTTTGTCCAACAAATCAATTGTTTGAAATTTTAGATCAAAATGGAGTGAAAAACTTGTAATTCAAAAACAATAATAAAATTTGTGAGGTGGAGGTTAGTTATAAAACAAAAACAACAATAAACATGGTCACACACGTTAAACAAAAACAACAATAAACATGGTCACACGCGTTACACAAAAACAACAATAAAAATGGTCACGCGCGTTACACAAAAACAACAATAAACATGGTCACGCACGTTACACAAAAACAACAATAAACATGGTCACACACATTACACAAAAACACCAATAAACTTTTTTTTTACGGTTTTGGAACCAAGATGTGAGAACCCTTCTAAGACACACTTTGGTGCTGTAGTAATTCCAGACACGTACAAAGAAGAAAAAGACAAGCTTGATATTAAACTAAAAGGTGCTTCTTCTGTTACCCTTGCCAGTGATGGATGGACTTTGAGATCTACTAAAAGCTACATCACTGTTACTGGGCATTTTATAAACAACAACTGAGAAATAAGATATTAAATACTATAAATAAGACAATTAAACGAGTCGCATATGGCTGAGTACATGTCAGATGTAATGAATGAGACTTGAAAACTTTTCACGATCCAGCAAAATTAAACCTAGCAAGACTCTCACCTCAGGTGCAATGCTTGCACACACTGTTAACTTGGATGCTCAAAAAGGCCTTCATGTGTCACAAGTGGATAGGTTGTTAGGGTAGGTAAAAAAGGTAGTTTCCTTTACTACAGATGTTCAATGGCAAGTGCTTAACTGAAAGTCAATCAGCTTATGCTTAAACTTTGTCAGTGCAAGCTGATTCAAGACATTCCAACCAAGTGTAATTCTAATTCTAACGTGATGTTTTGTTACTTGGAACAGCAGCTTGCAGTTTTGACAACATTTATGTACAAAGAAGTTTATATGAACTAGCAGAGACCTGCAAAACATTTCCGGCCAAATTAGTATCTTTATCGTAACAGTACTTCTTTAAATATAAAATTTCTAGCACAATACAAACGAATTTTAATCACAGACAACGAAATGTGTAAATCCACTTATATATATATATATATATAGGCTGTACTTTTCAAAACTTCAACTTATGTTAGGTCTAAGTTCGATAAAGAGATAAATTAACACTATAACTTGTGCAAGTTTTTTTTGTAGTTTAGTTATGACTAAACTTTACTGTACTTAATACTATCGATAAATAAACTTATAATGTTATTCTACGACCTAACGTCAAACCTTTTTTAAAACTTTGATCAGTTTTTAATATTCTGTTATACAAAATGGTTAGTAAAGTATATTTACATTCCCCTTTTGTTGTTACTTCTTGTTTCATACAACAATCATAGCAACTTGATCACTGAGCTTTGCAGCTCTCTGCTGCAGGTAGACTGTTTATTGTAGAGTGAATAATGCGCATGCATGTTTTTTCTTGGGGAAACTTTCTAACTAAGCATGCTTATGCAGCAGGTTCTCGGTCAGAAAGCGTAACAGTCGTACATACAAACAAGCAGAATAATAGTATAGATGATTATGTTAAATAGTGCCTTTGATATTTTGTTCAATAAAGTTCATGTTTCAGAAGATTAAGTTACAATTTAATAAATAAATTTCCTATTTCTTCAAAAACCCAGTATTGATCATTATGTATTTGCTATATTAACAAATTATCATAGTCATATTTATTATGATATGATATGTAAGGGATACATATCAAATCCTATGGTAAGCATATTATTACAGCCTTCCTGGTAGCGTAACTAAACAAAATGAGTTACAGTAGCACAATTTTCACACATTGTTAATACAGTAGTTTTCGTGTACATTTTAATATAAAAAAAAAAAATTTAATAAAATCTCAAATATTTACCCTACTCATGCATTGGCACTGCGAAAGTCAAAGGAAAGGCTATGTTCGCATTAAAGTTTTTTTTAAACAAATTGTACCTTCTAGACCATTTCCTGGTTTTCAACATGTAATTTTATTAGCTCACTATGGTTAACTAACTAACATCTACTAAAGTTTGTTTTAATAGATTTTTTATTTCCTTGTTCATTTTAAATGAACTGATCACAGCCTCCTTTTGTTGATCAGTATACATGTGTATGTATGTGCATTTTTATGTTATTTGATTATATACAGAGATATAATGATCAAGTTACTAAAAAATAAGTTCAATAATGAAGTTATACACTTCTTTTAATGACCACACACTTAAACGTTCAGCTTTCCAAAGTGGTTTTTGAGCAGCATCTTTCATTAAGCCCAAAAAATCTACTACATACATAGAATATAATCTGCCTTCTTGTTTTCACAGCAGCCTACAAGCCAGTAAATTTTCTTATGAAACATGCCAAAGCTTTCCAAAGTGGTTTTTGAGCAGCATCTTTCATTAAGCCCAAAAAATCTACTACATACATAGAATATAATCTGCCTTCTTGTTTTCACAGCAGCCTACAAGCCAGTAAATGTTCTCATAAGACAAGCCAATTCTTTCAGTATTGGCTTTTTATAGTAAAATATGGAGTATATCTATAAAGACATGCAATAATTTATTTCATTAGCTCTCAGAAATACTTATGATTTTATTTACTTACATAATACCATTAATTATATAATAACTTGTACCAGAAGAACTGCTAAAAAAAACTTCATTAAAAATGTTACAATTAATAACAAGTATTCTTAATTATGAGTGCCAAGCAAACCAAAAAAGCCTTGGGTCATCAAGCTGGGTATCCTTGTTGTTAGCAGTGTTTTCAATTTATTCATTGGAGGGTATAGAAACAGTATTTCGAGAAACATGACTGAACATACTTTATTGCACCTCACAGTTGTTTCATACATCTGAACTTCACCCCCCCCCTTTTCTTCTAACTAAAACAAAACTGAAAAGGAGCCATTTTATAATTTGTAGCTTCGTATTCTATAAGCATGGAACTAATCATCACTCACGTGGATGTGATAGCCTATATACAGAGAGAACGTTTCTTTTACAAACAAATTATTAGAACATTCCAATTCGTTTTTTTATGTGGAAATTTACCTAAAAGAAGTTAAATTCTTAAAATTTTATCTTCTTCCTCCAGCTTTGGCCAGTAGTTTGCCAAATGTTAATCATTACTTCAAATATTACAATTCTTACTACTGTCAGTTGATTTTAGTTGCTAATATTAATTGTTTTATAGATGCCCAGTACAAAGTTCTTTAAGCACTAGAAAACGTACCACCTGGAAGAAATAAAAGAAATCAGAAAATATACATGAAAACATTGCATCACTGGAGAACTAATTACTTAGTAATATTTCAGGTGCAGATAATAACTTTTAAATTATTCATACTATTACAATCATTGCAATTACTAGTAATTTTTGCTTCACTACTCAAAACATGACAAAATAAGTCACCAATATGAGGAGCTATTCAGTTTTTATTTTGTTTTACCAACCATTATGCCCTAAATTAAGCAAAAAATGTGGCCTGACTAACTAATGAATGAATATTTGCTGTAAAATTCTTATCAATGCTATAAATGTCTCTACCAATTTGGCCGCAAATTTCAATTTCATTACTTTAAGTCATACGCTGAATCCTTTTTTGCCGCACCTTTTTTTTCATGCCTAAGGTGTTTCAGATTAGATAGTTTGTTAAAACAACGGAAAATTAACAATCGTCACATACAAAGTAAAAACGAACACTAAAATGCTTCAAAATATTGAGTTTAAAAAGCAAACAGCCAACATTGGAAACATTAATTTCATTCAGTAACAACAAGATCTGAATTACTGTACCTGACAATGTTTTCATACTCCTTGTCCTTTCCTCTAGATTCTTTCCAACGTCTATACATAACTGAAGCATCCACATTAGCAGGAGAAAAGGTATTGGGTTCATTGAGTAGAGATATCACACTCAACAATATTGTTCTGTGTAGTATACAAGGTTTATTAATACCGATACATAACATGTTCTAAAACACACCACTTATGAAGATAGTAATGCACAAGGTGTGCCATTAGATTTACCAGAAAACCATATTAAAAAAATAATGGTGGTCAAATCACTCCTTTTTTTTTAATTACTACATAATTAAACAACTAAACTAACATATCATTAAATAATAAGAAAACAAGCATTTTCAAATTCAAAGTTACTTTCGCTAAAACCTAATATATAAAGCACAACACAAGCACACACTGAATTTAAAAAAAACACTTTATATACATATGCATTATATATATACATGAAACAAATGAGATGCCATTGCATACAAAGCTGATACAATCTAAGAAAGATATAACAGAATTATTATGCAGGAACATAAATTTCCATCTTCAAAAACTCTTTTAAATATTCACCAACTTGTTACCTTGCATATAAATACACTTTTATATATAACTATCTTTAATATTGAATATCATTTATTGCTTTTTTTTTATTTTTTATTTTTTTGCACTACTGTGGTAATCAAGCAAGTATTCTTCATTTCAGTATTAGCTATCAGGCAACTTTCAAAACTGTTTCTGTAAGACAATTTACATGTTTTGCAATGCACTTAAACAATATTTACACCTTTAAAAATGTTCTCAGAATAAATTAAAAGTTTTCCACATAAAAAAAAAGTGAAGAAAAAAAATATCTTCCTTCAATTTCTTATTGGTAAAGTATGCTCTCTGGTTACTTAAATACATTTTTCAAGCATTGAACTCACCTAACATTTTGTGTTGGGTTCCAGCGCTCACAAGGTAACTCACCACTCTGTGGGTCATCAATAGGAGGATGAAGAATAGATATACACAGGTCACCATTCTACAGGAAAACATAAATATGTGAATGTGTTTTATAGCTACCAATTTGATAATCTTGTATGCAAACTCCTGCAAAAACATGCAATTCCTATCAATTACAGGAAGTGTGTAGAACATAAATACCAAATTAAAAAATTTGATTTAATACCTTTTGTGTGTTTAGTATATGCATGTACAATACAACAACTCACATTGCCTATTTTAAGACACCTGTTACAACTAAATTTAGAAAATTAGTGCAAAAAAACAAGGTGAGTGTGAAATTGGTTTGAACATGGTCAAGGACGACAGTCATCCCATCTTCAGAACCTGTCAGTTGGTAGTTTTATTTCACCTACTGGTAACAGTGTTAAACGAGTCAATCTTTAAGCTAGTTACTATATTATGCAAGCCAGTTTTCTACCTGGTTAAACAGTTCAGTATTCCAATATAAAGCAGTGGTAAAAAATTGATTTATCCAAACTAAAAGCACAGTTTTAAAACATACTTCTGCCAGAGCTTAAATTATGCAAGATTAATTAGAATCTAATTACCTATGTAATGTACATGTCAATATCTTCTTTAACCAAGGGGTTCATAAGCTTTCCAAACTCACAATTTATCTGAGCAGTCAGACAATTCTCTGGTATCCGTTTTAACTTGGGGGGGGGGGTATTCAACTAAATCAATACAAATGTATTAAAAGGCCTACGACACAAATTTATTGTTAAAACGGAAGATATTTCACTTTTCTCTGTACTAGTTAATTTTATATTAATGACAAAATGATATATTAATACAAGTAAAATACAGTAAAAGCATATATTTTAATATTAATTTCAATAACCAGTTCTCACTACAGTATCTTTCTGAATATAATGGTAATTCTGATGTTACAAGTACAAAGCTACCATTCATGATGTTACTGTACACTTTCAACATACTCAGTGTTTGACAAGGTAGGTTTTTCTACGTTAAACAGATTAAGAGGCAAGGGGAGCTCAGCTTTCATCACAAGACATCACTCTTATGGATCCGATAACCCAATACCTATCATGGTTTTGTTCATATGACTAGCAATGGTCTTCAACAGCTTGAAATAAGTAAAGTTGTTTCATCATATTTTGAAATTAAGAAAGACCAAAAAGTAAAGTAGAGATAATGCTTTGTAGAGCTTAGTTATAGTGACAGTACACGAACTACATTAAATCATATGACAATTATATATAATGTACATATATTGTCTGCTTGTTCTACAAGTGCTAGATCTAGCACACAAGGCAAGGGGGCCCAGACAAACAATTATGAAAAAGTATTTTAGAAGTTCTAGAAAACGTGATAAAATGTGGGCTGAAAACATAACATGACTGACTGTTGAGAAGACTGCAAATGAAATGCAAGTAGTTTCAATTGTAGGTGATACTGGATTCATTGTAGAATGCCATGTTAACAAAAAATTACTGTATGAATAGAAAACAATCAGGAGAGCTTGTAGTTTACAGACTGCTTAACTAGAGGGTGAGAAACAGGCGTTACAGGGATGAGCAACTGTGAGACATGCTGTAAACCTGTATATTATGTGTGTTTCACCTGTCGAAAAGTACACCAGCTACCACTAGAATCATACATAACCAAAACATATCATTACTTGTCAAAAGATTGAATTAACAATTCCTTTCTTCTTACAACTCAACATATGGAAAAGTGTCACACTCTGTTACATATTTTGAACCATAGACAGAGTTAGGTGATTTAACTGATTAATCAATTACCTATGAATAGCAGTGACATTGATTGGTGTCATGTAAACTAGTCGATTAATTGAAATTACGATTATATCATCTTTCATGAAAATAATCATCAAATCAGAATGTGGATTTCTGATTATGACTATTTTCAATTGGTACACGAAATCAAAAGTTAACATTTTCCTCAACTGAAAATATTTCCGATAGATAATTACCTTTTCTCACAAAATAGCTTTTCTCGATTAGTACTGCTCTCTGTTGGCACAAATTTTCAATGCTCACCACTAGCCTTCTACCTCCTACTTCTGTATATCTACATTTAAATAATTATGCAGCAGACCGACACAACCCCTATAATAAACAGCACCCTCTTCACATTTGCACTCATTAATCACTTTGAGATTGGTCAAAAGACCTACACACAACAATCATCAGAAATGGAGAGGCTGGGTGGGAAATGTGAAAAGAGGTAAGTAACTATCAAAAATACATTTTCAGGTTAGGAAAATGTTAACTTCCAATACGATATCTTACCTCTACTCACAAAATAGCTAGAATCTCACACTGAACTGGTGGAGTACCAGTGAAAAAATTATCCCCCTTTAGTAAGCACCCAAAGAGAGACCATGAGGTGGAAAAGAAAATATCACACCTCAGGAGGAGACTGCACCACATTTGATCCAAGTATATTCTTCTCCCTTTCATGACTGTGTCACAAACATAAAAGGCAGAAAAAACATGAAGGAATTCCATAGTACGTATTACTGATCAATGGGAGCCTTGGGTGTCAAGTGGCTATGGTGCAACAGACCATAGTAGTAGTTTGACCTCAACTAACACTGGTGGTAACTGGAATTGTACATCAATGCCACAGTAGGTAGAGGATCACCTACCTCTTCATCACGAAACAGGAATTGGTAGGGAAGACAAGCTTCCATACCAAAATCTGTTTCCACTTGCATGCATTTCCAACCCAACCAACACCTGATCCACCAGGAACTGACATGGTAGGAAGGTGGAAAACCCTGGTAGGATAACATCTCCAGTCCAAAACTTGGCAGCATTGAGAATGGTTCTTCCAGTGTGTGGTAGGAGGAGGATACCCGGCCATAAACAAGTGAGAATATATGTGCTGCATCCAGCTACAACCAACATCAGATACGCTAGAAACTGGCATCCAGAAGATGATAGAAATAGGGACTACAAATCTGGGGTGCATCTCTAACCTAAAACCTGATGACATTGAGTATTTTTCATCCAGTCCACAGTAGCAGGAGGGATACCAGCCAGAACACATGAGAACTTAATTAGCTGGACTATCTCCAACCAACACCGAACCTCCCAGGAACCACATCTGGAGGATGATAGGGAAGAAGAATGTCACATCCTGAGGGGCAAACTGCATTATATTTAGTCGTGACATGGAGGAGTGCTTCAAACAAAACCTAGCAATATCTGGAATTGTAATTAGGTCCACAGTAGGAAGGGCATCATGTCATCAACACGATTCTAAATCGGACTGGGCTATCTCCAACCAACACCAGACCCCACCAGGAATGTAAATCCAGAGGATGGTAGGAAAGAGAAATGCCATGGTAGGAAAAAGTAATTTGACAGACATTGATAGATTAATACAACATAGTGCTACAACCAAAACCTGGTGGCATTTGGAATTGGACATCAGGTCCACTGTAGGAAGTGCTATACACCATTGACACCTGCAGAATGCCACTGTCCTACTCTCAAGTAAGTGGTATGATGCATCACTCAAGAGGACAGGGCTCCACCCCAGCATCTAGGAACTGGTAAGTGGCAAGGACTCCCATTCTCCACTAGAAGAAATGAAGGAAAAATGAGTTGGAGAGTCCAGAGAACCTCATCACTAGAGACAGTGCAATGGGTGACTGCGATATCCTATTTTGAAAAGCAGAGCTACCACATTGATGGAGTCGATCAACCAACACCCAGAGGCACCTGGAATTGTACATCAGGTCTGCGGTAGAAAGTCTCAATGTCATGGAGCATCAGAGATGGGCAGCAATCCCTGTCTACTTTACTCATGAGCGTATGGTCTGGGACAAACATACTTATGAAGCAAACGATCATGAGATAGAACTACTAGTGGTCCTACAGAACACATCATCTCTACATTGTGCATAACCTAATCTGTTTTGGAATAGATGACAATTGAACAGAGACATAACACCTGGCAGCATCTGGAATTGTACATAGAGGCCATGGTAGGAAAGGCTTCAATATAATGGACAGTATGGATTCTCAAACAAAAAAGCATACCTGGTCAGGCACCACTTGCCACAGAGTGGGGTCCACAAAACACTAGTAAAAAAAGTTCCTGAAAAAGTCAGAAAAGTTGGAAATAGCAACGTTTCACAGTGCACAATGTGAATTAAAGAAATAAAGAAAAACTAGGTTTTTAGTATAAAGAAAAATGACAACAAGTTTGCGAACAAAAACAAGCACATCTGTTCAGTACTACTGGCAATCGAAAAGTGATTAATGAGGGCAAATTGCAGAGGGCACTGGTTACGATAGAGGTTGTGTCTCGCTCCAACTGGTAGAGAGCTGCTGCATAATCATTTACATGTAGAAGCAGGTGGTGAAAGGCTAGCAGTGAGCATTGAAAATTTTTACCAACAGAGGGCAATACTAATCAAGAAAAGCTATTTTGTGAGAGGAGGTAAGATATCTTATCGAAATAATGTTATTATGTCTGTTTGTTTTTAAGTGCAAAACTACATAATGTAATGGGCTTATTTATGCTATGCCCAAATTTGGTTTCATAATCTTCTATTTACTTCAAGCTTGTTCAGTTTTGGTGATTTGGGGAGAGGGCTTGTGATTCAAGTCTTGGGTTGTTTCCATTGCCACCAAACTGCTTACCCTGTCTTTATTATGGCAAAAACTATTAAGGCTATTTGCCACTGTCACTAATTTTGAACTACAGACTAGAGGGAATGCAACTGTCTAGAAACACCTGTCCTCAACTTTGTTTTTTTACTTGTACATACCAGGGTTTGAGAAACACAATACTAATTGATTAATTAGGCCATCCATTAAATGATTAGCAAATACCATTAATCACCCAACTCTAATAATTAATATATCAAAAGTCAGTGCTTGTGTGCTTGATAGTGCTGTTAATATTGTAAATACTAATTGACTGTGATTGGATATCTATGACTCTCTTTTCACACACACACATTACAGTTTGCAATCAGCAATGGATTTAAAGCAGATATAAGCTTCAGTCATACAACAGACCAGTTTCACATTTTACTACAGTGCTGTTGCCTCAGAAGTTTTACAGGAAAAGCAACATCAGAAAGACCTTTCATAAAAAAACTTATCCAAAGGAATTTCTATCTATATCATGTCTGTATGCTTCATACATCAATGATGGGCAAAATCTATCTTTTTATCAGGCTTCACTGTGACTAAACTATATTTTGTCTGTGTTCTAGAGTCGTAGGCTGAAAACTGGCATGTACCAGAAGAAATCAATCCTGTTCTGAAGTCTCTACAGATAGCCACAACAGTAATTTGCAGTGGGAAAACAACTACAGCACTTCTGATATATCTTATCATTATAAGCCTCATGTTATCAATTTGCAAGTGAATGTTAACAGCACAAATGCAGTGAAGTCATTTTTAGATGATGTATTCTCGTCACTTGAAGAGCATCTCCAGTCAAACGAAGCTGAAACTGCTTACCACACAGCTCTCATTTTAGACCAGACACAGGAAAAATTTAAATTTTTGAATTATAATGTGTTGTGCAGTTAAACACAGTTTAGAAAAGCTCTGTGGGTAAACAAATGACAAGCAACACGAATCAAGTAGGGCGAGTGCTATGTTTTATCTAATGCCAGAGTCTGACGTGAGCAATTCAGCAATTTAAATTAAAACTTATCCACGTTTAGATTAAGGATTTGATGACAGCAAAAAAAGCAGCACTGTCTTTTTTGGACAGGTCTAGTTACCAGGAGAATGACAATCAGCCGAGTGAAACTGAGAAGTAGAATGTATGGCCAGCACAATGATTCAGACCCACTTCAACAGTAGAAAATGCACAAGGATTTTAATCTAGTTAAGGTAAAAATAGCATGAAGATTCATTTGCATCCCTACATCTTCAGTTTCATCACAATCCACTTTTTATACTGCTGAGTTGCTAGTAAACAAACCACAAACAAAACTGCAGATGGACAATGTAAACATGCTGGGATTTCTGAAGAAAGTCATGGAAGCTTTACAGATAAGGTTCATAATTAATTTTGCTCCTTACTATGTATTACATATAACACTACTGACATACTTATACTGGCAATAAATGTTGCAAAGTAAGCTAAGCAAATAAAGTAGCAGACTTAAGTATGTATACTTTGGTTTGGTATTATACTTCTGATTAACACTTTTGCACATGTTCTGTCTTACACTTAAGGGAAAGAATATTTTAATTTAATTTGGGATACTCCCGTACATCACATGAAATGATTCTAGTTTGCAACTACTGAGGGAGACCAAAACTTAAGTAAAAAAAAGAAAAAGAGATTGCATGCATTTTATTTATATTTTGGGCTGTTTTTTTTTCCACACTGCTGCCACAGAGAACTACAATGTATCATTACTGGTAAATTATTTTTTCTTTTGAAAGTTATAATTTTCCTACACTGAAAATGTATTTATGATAGGTACTTACCTCTGCCTAAAAATAAATACCTATTATTGTTCAGTGCTGCCCTCTATATGCAAACATGCTTTTTACACATGTTGCAAGCCTTTTATCTTCCCTCCATTGAAATTGACTGATTCCAATGCATCTCTCACTCAATCATCATGCATCAACCCTCCATCAATAAGAGTGCGACATACTCTCATGATGAATGTGGCTCCCTCTATTCAATTCTACCAAACTGTCCCTTCAAGTTTTGACAGAAGATGGAAACACCAGTTTTCAGTGGGGAAGAAGAGTGGGAAGTACCAATTGGAAATACATTTTCAGTGTAGGAAAATTATAACTTCCGATACAGTACCTCTTCTCACATAAATAGCTAGAATCCCACATTGAATAGGTGGAGTGACCGTTTCAATGGAAAGAAAGAAGCATCCTTTTGATTTGTTTGAGAATATAGTGAGCATTTATAGTTTCTGTGTAACTAAATTCTCTATATATAATGCATAGCAATGGACAAATACATGCCTACTCTAAGAAACAATCCACATTAAGCACAGATAAAATTTTACCAGTAGAAAAGCAGTCATTTCAAATAAAACATACACATCTAAAACATCATTTTAAATATACCTTCGTGTCTTTTATAGTAATTATTCTACAAAAGTGTGTAATAAAATTTAATATCATGTGTATTGATTTTTTTTACACCTATACTTCATACATAATATACAGATGGCTCCCTAAAGACAAATTGTTTAGTGTACAAAGCATTGAGTATCTACATGTTACAGTCACCAAATGTTCATCTATTATTGACTGGTAATTCCTGTTTCATCCTTTATTTAGCTTTCTTACAAATATTTGGTACTCCTTTTAAAAGCTTAACTTCAAGGGGTAATGATAACATTGTTTATACTAGAATTGTGATATTCTTTAGCTTATGCATAATACAGAAGAAACAAATCGACTTTTCAATACCCCTACGACCTTCACAGTACATTATTTAGTATTACACAAAAGGTTTAGGTGCAATATACCAAGTTGTTTTTCTTGTAGGCTGGCATGAACATAATAATAATAAGAATTACGAATGAGTCATTTTGAGCAGATTTTCTTTTTTCTTGTAAGTCTTGTGTACAGCCTTAGCAGTCAATAGTAAAGGTTTTAAATACTATTTGAACTGAATCTTTACTTATTCTTTGATAGATTGTTTGAACCTTTACTGTTTAAGGTGCTTTTTGCCCAAACGTTCTACTAGGGTTTTGTGCAATTCCTTGCAATCCCTATTATGAATCACTATCATGGTTCACGATACATAAACCACACTGAGCCATTCATTAATTCCTAAACACATTACATTTTTTACATTCTGCAGATTTCAATCTTAATATAAGCACAAATTACTACAAATTATGCATTAAATTTTAATTTTTTGACAGTGATACAGCATTTAGGGATACATTCCCATCTATCCTCCTGACTTCCAGTGCACTTTTTATTTTTCCTTGCCTCATCAATGAATGAAGTTCCATGAGTTCCAAGGAGGAGCTATTGCACATGGAGGTATGTCACCCTCCTATTGGTCATCATGAAGTAGCTCAATTCTCATACAATCATATGAAATCAGGTGGGAATTGCCTCAAAGCTATTGACATGCAAATCTCTCTGGTATACACACAAGGAAGATAACTAAACTGTGTGTGGAGATGAGGTATTGTCTCGGAAAATTTCATGATCTTAGTCAGAGATGGCGATTATCCACAAAGACAAGGTGTTAATACAAAAATATTGTGTACAGAGATACATTTCATGTATAGTCATTCCATTTTTTTGTTTTTACACTTTCTTACTTTAAAGTTAAATACAACAACTCTATACTCTGCTTAGAAGGTTTTTTGTTTCATTTATCTCCAACTACATAATACAACAACAGCATTACTTATATGTAATCATATACATAGATGTATAATGTATGTGACAAAAATCTTTGGCCTCTGGTCAATATAGAAGCACATACTTTGCATGTGGAAGGTGAGGATAAAATAGCCTTGTCTATATATATTTTTTCCCCCTAAACAATGTTTTACTAGTAAAATCATTTTAGTATATACATTGTACATGAAGCATGAGTTTATCGTCTAGCTCAAAACTTAATGTCACAGTTCTTTCCCATCAAGCAATAATGAATGTTTACCAGTTTTTTTTCCACTTACTTCATACACATTAGGATGCCACACTTTTGACATGAAACGGATAGTCGGAGGTGAATAAGGGTAATCAGGAGGGAATTTCACATGAGCCTGAAAGAAATAAAACTACACTTAACTGAAGGTATTACACAGCAGTTTATCATCTGGTGAATCATTCAATCACATTTTGTATAGTGTTTCTTACTTTCTACAATCTTCAAATGCCTAATCCTTACTGCAGGATTCTTTTGACAGTTATGACTACTTTATAAACAGAAAAAAATCTATAATAGAGCTACATTTAAAAATATTAGGAAATATTTCAATAAATTCATCTCAATCCAGCAAAATCAAGCACATAATAGGTACTTACACAAGCCTAAATAAATAACCTTTAACACCGAATTTCTCCCTCAACCAGAGACACCTCATTGGCAAGGTTCAGGTGTAAAAACACAGGATTCCAGTTTTGGTAAAACTTACAAAGGATGTAGCATATAATGTGACATGACAATTATAATTTTTCTACAGTTTCCAAATAGGATAAAAATTGACCAAGTTATAACTCGTAAATTCATCAACAGAAACTTTATAGTTAATGACAGTACTTGTGTAACCAATGGATCTGTTACATGAGCTTTAGCAATCATTGCAACTGTTTTATAGACCAGAACCCAACAGATTTTCAGCAGATATCTCCAAGTCCTGTGGACTGGAACTGGCACTTTGCTACTCTTCAGTTTATCATCAATCACCATCATTCCTTCAATTGCATGAATACAAAAGGTTTCAAGATGTTTAACTTGTAACCTGTACAGCTACTGTGGCTGTGATCTTGATGGATTTTTGAACAGCTCTTGTTGGGGCAAATCCATCTATCAAGTATTCATAAATATGTTTGGTGATGAGAAGGAAAGTAGTGATAGTAACTTTCTGCCAGATCAGAACATCAAGAACAAAGTTTCCAACTTCAAAAAAGACAATGACAAAAAGTTTCATAATTTGATTTGAGAATCAAAAAGATAATCTAAATTTGTATTTGTTTCTCTTTGACTGCTCATAACTCCAGATTGAAATATATTACCATCATACAGATGGCATATTTTGATACAGATGATTCTGGACTTTCCAATGGTGTATGTAACATTCCCAAGAAATGACTAGCACAATTTCTTATTCCTTGCCTTATCATTCAAAAATGCTACCTCTGATTGAGAGAATGTTAACTACTTAAAGTATAAGAAAGTATATGTAAAAAATGCAGATAATATAAGGAACTAATTCTATGGTTACAGAATATTGTATCTATCCTGCTTTACCCTCTGGATATGGGTATGTCAACATGCACATGTTTCAACCTTTTTACAAGTTACATTCAAAATTTAATTAAATTACTTTATTATCAATGTATATAAATAAAGTTGACATCAAAATACAGTTAACAAATCAAATTGTAATAAAGGTTTTAATTTCAAAAGAAAACAATAAAATGTAATTTAATAAAAATTTAAAATACATAAATGAATAAATAAGTTATTATTCATTATAACCACTAAATTAAAAAATATGCATCACGATTTTTCTTCTTTCATAGCTGTGTGACCATGGAACTTCTTTTCATAAGGCAGAAGGGACCTCCCCACTATACTCAATCCCCTACCCCAGGTTCTTTTAAAAATGTGAGTTTTCTTTCTCTCTGATAACTTTTGGTGGTAAAAAAAAGCTAACTAACCTTAAAAACTGTACTATTTTAGCCACAAAAACAATCTTGAGAAATACAACCATACGATGTTTACATACACACTACAATAATTAGTAAAAAATAAGTATATAACTAAATCTGACATAACTTAATCACTAATGACACATTAGATCAATCATACAGAATATGAAAACTTTAAAATCATCATTATTCAGAAATTTCTTGAATAACAATGTTTTTATTCTGCATAAAGAAATGATGTAAATTAATTAATATATTACATGTATGACAGTAATACACTTTTTATGCTACATGATACAACCTCCAATTACAACTAGATGAAAATTTACAAGTATACACAATATATACATAATGTACAAGAATGCTTTTACTTGTATACATGTACTACATCATGTACTAAGTACTACCATACCCATTTATATACAAATTAGGATTTACAAACAGTCCATTATATATATATATAATCAAATTTAGAATAATGTTATTTTTGCAGGGTGCGTGCATTACCATAATTACACATACACACACACACATACTAATTTGGAGGCTAAATTAATTGTGCTCCAAAATGCACTGCCACTATATAGTTATAACAACCACTGTGACAAATAAGTATAAAAAGCTATAAACAGTAAATTGAATAATTAATACTGGTATTATACAATGCTTATTGTAATTGTTAAATCGTATACAATGTACATTTTTAATACTAATATAAATTTTTCAAGCTGCCAATAATGGTACTTAATTGTTACTGTTCAGATTAATAGTACAACTATACATTAGCATCAGTAAATGTACATTACAAGGAGAGAACAGATTTTGTAAAACTAGAAACAAGCTTAATTCAACTTTCATGATGTTATTAATCTTAAACGTGATTAAACAAAATATCATCTAATAATACAATAACTATTCATAATCCATGTAAACTTGTGAGTTTGCCTACATTAATCTATCAGTGAACATGTTAAATGCTTCATTTCCCTCTGTATAATGTACAGTTATCTATTTCATGGTTGTAAGCATGTTCAACATGACCTATTCTATCTAACAAATCAGCCTTTTGTGAATTAGGTCATTGCCACTTTGCTGAACAACTAGAGAATACTGAAGATACACAAGCTATACACAAATGTATGCCAAAACCTTGCTCTAAATATTTGACTACACAATCACAAAAACACTTGAAAGTATAGGTAGGGTAATGTAAAAAAAAAAGCATTAAGACTATGTACCTCAGGAGAAATTACATTTCAATGCCCAAACTTTCCTGAATAAAAGTATAAAATATAAGAGTGCCTCAGGTCATATCTAATTACCCTACGACCAGTACTTTATAAAATATATATCATTTAAAGACAAGCTGTGTATATGTTTGTTGAATGGAGTTAGATAATCAGTTAGTATTTTAATTTTAATTATGTATTTTATTTTTCACTGCTATGTTAATTTATTGGACATCAAGTTGGTTCTCTCTTTATTAGCTTTTATAATTCTGCCAATAAACTATGTTTAAAGTTATCTGAATGATACTTTTTATGTAGTAGGTACACATTTAACTAGTGACTTAAATTGAAATCTGTGAAAAAACCACTAATTCACACCATTACGGTTATAATTTCATTACAATACTCATAACTACAAAACAAAGAAAGCTCTTATTAGATAATTTGGAGAATGGAAAGTACTCAAATTATAGTAATAAATGCTAGCAATTAATCATCTCAGCTGCAGTATTTATGAGGTTTACTTGTAAAACAGCAGAAAAGATACAGGTACAAAGAACCTAAAATAATGTTTTACACAGATACAGATTACTTAACCTTTAGTCCTTAACAATCACAAGTTCTTTCTTGTTGAGTTGAATGGTTGTATACATATATAGCTTATAACAAACACAACATGAATGTATGGATAATTACTGCTAGGTAATATGGTATGTCTGTAATCACATACAGAAGCAGTTAATTCAATATACAGAAACAAACTTGAAGGAAACTATTTTATATCTTTTCATTTACAGGTAATACAAAGTTACACAAGTATTTGAAGTGGTCTTATTTACAGTTCCCACAAGTATTACATTATAAATAGCATTATTTCATGGTTTACTTTAACATAACCTGGTCATATTTCTTCCAAGACCATAAAACTTAGAAATTTTCATTACAATGCAACAGTAGATCAAATAAACAAGATTCAGTACTGCCTAGATTGGAAATGAGCATATTTACAAGGAAGGATGTCTTTCACTTTCATAGGATGAAAAAACATTCAATCTACTGAAATCACCTTTCACTCTATGGAATAACATATCAAAGAAGTCTTATACTTGGACTTGTCCATGTTCAGGGTTACTTATGAGGAGCAGAAATCCTCAACAAATCAAAAAAAAAATCATTGTTTGGTAATTTACTATTAACAGACTGAACATTATGTGTCTTTGTTGCCAAAATTTTGATATTGAAAAAAACAACAATATAACCTACCCAACATAAGTATAAAATAATTCAGACAAATTGCACACACCAAAATCACCAGGCAAATCTTTCTACAAATTTATTATCACTTAACTAAAAATAATAATTTTATTAAAGAACTTAGCCTGAGTCTAAACTTTTAAATTATTACCTAAATAAACAAGTTTGGATTTCCTAAACTTCAGTTCTATCACCTCAAACATAACACCCATATGAAAAGTACCTAAATCCCCAACAACTTTGAAACACTAAACTGAATCACATCTTGTTCTTAAGCATTTCCACATACCTTGAATGCCTTTATTAAACTAGATTAAACTAGGTGCCAAATAAGGCATATGTCTTGACACTTTTAAACACTCTGACATCCATCCTGTAGATAGTAAATCAAACTACACTGAAAACTCTTAGATGAAGTCTCAAATCTTATAGAAAGATACATTAAATATCTCTTGCTTAAAATCAAATGTACTATAAAAAATAAATCAAAATTTTCTTGCAGCTAAACTAGCTTTATAGCTTGGTGATCTATCGTTTTATTCTTACATGGTAATAATCTTCCTATTTTTACCAACTTTTTTTTTCTTTTATATAATTTTTGAAAGTTAACATTTTCCTATACCGAGAATGTAATTCCGATACATACTTAGTTCAGTTGAGGGGCCAGTGCAAAGTTACCATGATGAGCACTCTTTGGAAGGCACCTGAAGAGAACCCATGGAGTGTGATAGCTTAATTTATAGGGTCACACCCATGGGAGATCACACCTCATCTGTACTAGGTATACTCTTTGCCCATTGTAAAGATACAAATGGACAGAAAAGACATACATCCAATCTGTAATTGGACTCACCAGATGGTGTAGAGTGGCTATGGTGCATCAGACCATATTCGATGGGTCATCT